ATAACTTGTGCTACATTATGTTACCATGCAAGACTGGACCATCATGAACATCAGCAAAATCAGCTATTGGTTACTGAACTGGTACAACCAAACAATTTAAGTGATCACATTGAAACAAGCTCTCGTCATGACCTCACTGAACAACTCAAATCCTGAATACCATTTCAGCACTTTCAAATCTACCCCAAAGCAATATGGAAATGAAAAAGGTGGGCCTTTTATGTCATCCTAGAGCGACTGATATACTTAGTCTTCTATGACCTATCACATAAGTGTCACATGCTTTAATTTGAATAATAGATAAGGAAGTGTATAGGGCAGATCTGATGCAGGGTTTCAAACTCTCATCTCCAGCACTGTCTCAATGACCCGACAGCCTAGACATGACCTGAGCAAAATTCTCATTTTTCAGTAGCCACAGAGCTGAGATTCTGAAAACCAAACCCAGAGTCTCATCTCGGAATGGCTAAATTATAGTGGAAACTGAATTGCAAACTTCGCAGGCTGTCTTCTGATAAACTGAGGCATTCACTGGGAGTATGTGGAATGCCAAAAGTGAGAAAGAGACACAAGGCAGATCCCATTACAGGGAAAAGCTAACCCAAATGTGCCAAATCTTAGCCAGTGGAAGCTGCTCATCCACCGGTAATAAGGAAGTCTTTCCTTTGGTGTTTGTGCTTTCTTTGATTTCTTTCATTACTATTTAGTGATTGTCATTATAGAAATGTTTTACATATTGGTGAAAATATACCAAGTTATTTACTTTTTTGAGCTATTTTGAATGGAATTACTCTTACAAGTTCTTTCTCAGCAAGATCACTCTTGATAGATTAAAATGCTGCTGATTTTTGTTCTTTTTAAGATTTATTTTCTATGTATTTGAAATTCAGTCATATGGCAGCAAGACAGTGAGAGAAATAGAGAGAGAGAGAGAGAGAGAGAGAGAGAGAGAGAGAGATGCCTTCCTTCCACTAGTTCACTCCCCAAAAACTACAATGGCTAGTACTGGAGCAGACCAAACCGAAGAACCAAGAGTCATGCTCTTCTAAAGGGACTCCCATTTGGGTACAAAGTTCCCACTAAGTACAAAGAATACAAAAGCCTTACTTGGACCATCCTCTGCTGCTTTCCCAGGTGCATTAGCAGGGAGCTGAATGGGGAGTGGAGCAGGAAGGACTTGAACGGGTGTACAGATGGGACACCTATATTTGGGTCTTGACAGAAATGGTCATTTGGGGCATGTGGGGTTTCTGAGGAAGGGCTTTGTCAGACACATCAAATCACAGAACCATAAATCTCAGGAAGGAGCACGCGCACACACCAGAGGCTTGGGGGAGCGGGGACTTTGGAGGCCACCTGCTGCTTCCCCAAGTGCAGTTTCTGACGTGACCTTGGCTTACAATGCTCGTGTTGCATGTGTTTCAAAGCCAGGGCTTTGTCAGAACAGACAAACCCATATTTAGTGAAGCCAAATAGAACAGAGACAACAAGACACCTATCAAATGGGTATCTAGTTTATTTTATTAGCAGACCTGGATAACATTGTATGACAACTAAGAGCACAAAGGAACAAGTAAGGAAACAGGGCATGCAGAGGGGTGATGGGAAAACAGGAGGAGCTGGATGGAGTGAACATCCATCACACCAAAGATTAGGAGTCAAGGTTTACCTCAGCAGAAATCAGTGATGTGCACAGGTGCTCAGATGCTAGGCTGCACTCCACTTTTTTCCATACAACATTCCAATCAATGTGGTCTTCTTCCAGATGGGAAACGTGGAACCTAAGGAAAGTGTTGTAGGGCCCAGGAACCTTTTTGTGAGGGCAGAGGAGACAGGATGGGAGAGTGGCAATCTTGTCACACTTGTCACTGCAGTTCCTGGTAAGAGGCTGCTCATCTGCCTAGTGGCAGCACTGCTTCTGGCAGCCACACTTCTGCTGGCAGCAGCCCTTCCCACCGCCACAGCCACAGGAGCGACGGCAACAGCTGCGGTGGTAGCAGCACACCACGGGGGAGCAGCATCCACAGCAGCATCCACAGCAGCCACCACAGCCACCACAGCCACCAGAGCCACCACAGCCACCACAACTACCACAGCCACCAGAGCCACCACAGCCACCACAGCCACCACAGCCGCCACAGCCTCCACTGCCACCACAGCCACCACAGCCACCACAACTACAACAGCCACCACAGCCACCAGAGCAACCACAGCCACCACAGCCACCACAGCCACAGCACCCCATGGTGTCAGCAGAGAGGACTCAGTGCAGTGAGGAGAGAGGACTCGGGAGAGGTCAGGGAGGTCTGATGCCCCTGCTCCTGCTGGGAGTGGCCCCTTCATACCACTTTGGGATCAGAGGGCGATGGCATGAGCACATGGCTCTGGTCACTTCCTTGTGGCTGCTATTCAGGGTCTCCGATAAGCTTATCTGGATCATCCCTGTCTCCAACCTCAAGCACTATACTGGGCCCAATACAGTCTCTAATGCTAAGTGTTCTTTTAAAAGCCCTTTTCAGAATTGATCCAAGAGGCACTAGCAATTCAGTGTGAATGTTCATTTTCACAGAAACACAGATCTGACTTATGATCGCTGGCAGCTCCTCCTTCTTTCCTCCTCATGGGATTTCTCTAGAGAACTTCAGTGAAAATCACCTCTTCTTTAACAGGAATGCCCCACAGGAAAAAGGAAGGAATGAACATGCAAATGAAATTGTGGTTTTCTTCTTTCTGAAAATGCTCCTGTCAGCTGCTGTGGCCAACCTCACCCCTCATGACCTTGGTGATTCCCTTCCTGTGCACCTGCAGGCTCCTGGTTGTGCTTCTCAGGGATCCTTACACTGAAGGATGCTGTTTTTCCTCACTCTCAGCTCCCAAAATGATCTGTTAGGAGTCTTCCCCTGTAGCAGCCAGAGCAGTGGTGTTATAGGTTAAGTCTCGGCCTGTGGCACTGGCATTCCATATGGGTGCCGGGTTCAATGCCTGGCTGCTTCTCTTCAGATCCAGCTTCCTGCTAATGTGCCTGGGCAAACAGTGGAGAGTGGTCCAAGTGCTTGGGACTCTGCACTCATGTGATGTTAAAAAAACGAACAGGAATCTTCCTCCCTATGTAGCCCGGCCCTCTCCCCCAGTGCCCCTCACTGGGGGCTCTCATCCCTGCCATGGACTGAATGTCCACAAGGCTACATTCCTGCAGAGCAGTAAACCTGGTGGAAAAGATAGGCTTCAGGTGCAGAGCCTGTTACACCTGAACAGGGGAGGATTTTCTCTGCCACAAGGATCCTGATCACTGTGCCCTGAGCTCAGGGACTGTCAGAGGCTCCCTCCCTCAGTGAGTCTGGAGGAGAGCCCACCCCGACCACCACTGTCCCTGCCTTACGTTTGCATCCCCCTTACTGGCACCAGCCTGCAGTTCCCACCATAAGCTTAAGCTGTTCTCTTCACCTCTTGATGTGAACCCTGTGCTCCAGCCTCGACCTGCCCCCAGCTCACCTCCTCCTCTCTGACCCTGACTCTTCTTCCCCAAGTATCCAGAATGCCCACTCCAAGAGTTCCAACACCCTCCTCTCTAGAGGGTCTCCCTCAGGCTCCTGGACACCGCAGTGTGGTTCTCGCGCCTAAACTGTTGTCATCCACTCAGAGACAAGGTTAATTCTTCCTCCAAAGCAAAACATACCAATGATTGCATCATCGGAGGGCGTATTCCACTGATGAATCATTCTGTGTGAAATACCAGTCAAGGCTGAGTGTGCAGAACAATGACAATGATTTGCTTCAGATGAAAGGAGAGAGGTTGATGTTTCCTGCCCCAGCTCAGTCAATGGGAATACGGCATCCGGCCTCTGACTTGAAGTTGTTAACTTTTTCCTACCTCTGACTCCAGTGTCACTTTCTATTTCAGCCATTTTAACTTTGGGACTGTACCTTATAAACTGCATGGCACCCACCCTTGTAGGGGTGGGAAACTTCTGGCCCCCAGGGCATATACGGCTCATGAACTCATTTGGCAACCACAGGTGGAACTCAACATTGAATAACTTTATAACAGACTAACTTTCAAGTTGATAATGTGGATAGCTCATGGATGATGCTATACATATTTATATAGAGTTGTGGGAAAAACAGTTCCCCATTCCTGATAGAGGATCACAGATTCTCTGGTCCTGGGGATGCTGGCTGGTGCCTGTGCTTTGTAAGCTCTCTGCAGAGTCCCACACATGGACTTCTGTTCTCGGCACTGTGGGAAGAAGTAGAAAGAAGCTCTTACTGCTCGCAGCCTCTTCATTCCACTGGTTCTCAGAAGGCTTCCGTAGAACACGTAGCCAACAATTACTCATGCAGCAACAAAGCTATAGGAAAAACAAAACTGAAAATACGGTGAAGACACACCGGAACAGGAAGTAAACAAGGCATCGTGAGAGTCCTCCATGTGGTTTGGGTCAAAGGCAACAAGGAAGGGGTCATGAGGCTTCAGTCTCCTGTCCCCAGAGCTGGTATATAAGGGCCTCCCCCAGAGCAGGGGCATCAGACCTTCCTGACCTCTCCTGACTCCTCTCTCCTCACTGCACTGAGTCCTCTCGACTGACACCATGGGGTGCTGTGGCTGTGGTGGTTGTGGTGGCTGTGGCGGCTGTGGCGGCTGTGGTGGCTGTGGCAGCTGTGGTGGCTGTGGCAGCTGCGGTGGCTGTGGTAGCTGTGGCAGCTGTGGTGGCAGCTGTGGTGGCTGCTGTGGTGGCTGCTGTGGGAGCTGCTGTGGTTGCTGCTGCTGCCCCACTGTGTGCTGCTACCGCCGCACCTGTTGCCATCGCTCCTGTGGCTGTGGCTGTGGGAAGGGCTGTTGCCAACAGAAGGGCTGCTGCCAGCAGAAGTGTGGCTGCCAGAAGCAATGCTGCTGCTAGGCGGACCACCCTGGCCCCCAGGCAGGTGTGGCAGGTAACTGCTCTAGGTAAGCTTCTTCCCTTTCCGTCTGCTCCTCTTGACTTGCAGGTCACATGGATGACCTGAGCTGATCACCACCCACGGGAATCTCACATTTCTGGAATTTTCATGATCGTGCCGGCATTGAACCTAAACCACTTAAAGTAAGAAATGTGCAGCCTTGTGTTAATTACTGCTCAAATCATGCCTGCTCACAAAGGCAGTCAAGATACGTATGTCAGACCTTCTTCAAATGTCTCTCACTTTCTATTAATCCATGTCCTGTTCTTACCAATGCATTGGTGTATCTGTGTACACAAAATAATCCTTAACCTAATAAATTAAACACATCAACCTCAAAATGTTGTCTCTTTTACTTTTTCCAGTCTTATACTGTCTCTCTATGGGCAAAAATGAGTTTTATCCCAAAATATAAAGCCTGGAATATACATGTGTAATCGATAGAGAATTGGAGACTAAGTATTTTACGATTGACATAGAGTAGTGATGATGAAGTCACTGCAGAGTTGTCAAGAAGGAAGGGACTGGGGACAAAGCCTAACTTGGGCCTGAATATCATAAGCATGAACTTCTCCCAAACTGTTCTCTTGATCAGGTCAGAGCTGCAGAGACCTGGTGCATGAGTACTTGTGCAGATCCCACAGGTTCAGAGGGTCTTCACAGCACGGTCCCTAAGAGGCTTGCCATTTGTAATTGTCACCTCTGTCCACTTCTAGGGCCTTCTTCTACAGCACGTTGATCACGGTGGCCACAGCCTCATCGCTGAGGTCACTCCCAAAGGCAGCAGAGGCTGAGAAAAGGGTTGTATACAACAGGGACTGCTGAATCAACAGCATTCCCTGGACTGCATCTGCCCTCAGGGGCTGTCTCAGCAGGAGGGAGGGGCAGGGGACAAGCCCCAGCTCACTCACCCTAGCTAAGGGAAGGAGCCCAAGACCCCTGGAATCCGAGTCCACACTGTGGTCAGTGGTGATGGGTGGAGTTCTTGGCTGTGCTGCCCCTCCCAGCCACCAACACTCTGGTTCTCCTTGTCCTGCTCCAGGAAATGAATCTTGTTTGCAGTCCGTGGAACTGGAGGCCACAGGTAGGGGGACGGGTGGGGACTCCCAGTCAGTGTACACATGGACTGGGGATAAAAACAGATCCCAGCTGAAGAGGGCCCTGATGTGCTGACTCATGAGATGCTCAGTCAGGTGTGGGCACAGGAGGAGGAGAGCAGAGGCTCAGGGCAGCAAAGCTGTCTCTACACAAACACTCAGAGATGAGGCAACTATGCATCCTAAGGGTGAGGGAGCAAACAGCAAGAGAGCAGGCTCCCCAGACAGGCAGAGAGAAGAGAGTGAGCAAGGCCCAGGGCTCCCATGGGGTCAGGGTGGAGGACACCCACCACAGGCAGAAGGAGATTTCACTGGGGCAGCTGAATGTCACCAGGTGTCAGAGGCAGGCAAGGAGGGGAGTTTGGGGCAGGGACTCACCTTATCACCCTGGGGCAGCTGGTCACCTGGGAGGGATGCCCTAGATTTACAACAGAGCACCAGCCACGTTCACTGAACACTGCTGTGCCAGGCGTGGTGCTGAGTGCTATTGGCAGATTCTAGGACACAATTCTTCCATTAAAGAGGTGACAAAGTGAAATGGAACAGAATTTAAGTGCAAATCTATAATGACTACTGGAAAAACAAAGAGCATGTAGAAGTGAGCACAGGTCACCAGCAATCTCACTTATTGATATGCTGATGTTATAAGTCCCAGTAACTCAGTGTGTGATAGTATTGTGAGATAGGGCTTTTAAAGGGTGATTAAGTTAGAAGGAGGTTGCTATGGGGGGCTGTGATCCAAGGCCTGATTCCTTCTAAGAAGAGGAAATGGGATGTGTATGCACATCAAGAGAGGACCATGTGAAGACACAGAAAGGAGCATACAATCATCTACAGGCTAAGGACTGAGTCCTCAGAAAAGCAAACTTCTTGCACCTCAACTGTTGAACTCCCAAGCTCCAGAGTGCTCCTTGGCTCCAGCGTGCAGCACTTCGTGGTGGCACTAACACACATACAGTCTCTTGGTCAGATGTGAGGAGTGTCCATCCCTCACACGTGTGTAGGTGCTGAGCTCTGGGCCTACAGAGATGCTGGCTCTTAGGTGATGACTCTTGATGAAGTGAGCTTGACCAGATGGAAGGAACAGGCTGCTGCTCTCCCCACATATGTATGGTATGACTGTGTCTGCCCTTGGTTCCTGGCTTTGCTTAACATCTTGGTTCTGCCCTCTTCCCCTGAGCATCAATTCTCACCACACAAAGCTAGCATGAGAATCGATGGAAATTCACAAGGGGACCACTGCATGATGGTTGGGGGTTTGGGATACAGATAGAGAACACTGGGAAGCACTCTGCAGGCTGGGGCATTTGTCCCGCATCTCTCCTGTTGGGGACCAATCAATGATACCCTAAGGATGGACACTTAGGTTAATTGTAGCCTTGGCTATTGTGATTAGTGTGGCAGAAAACAGTGAAACTTACCCAAAGGTTCCACAATCAGGAATACTGGAGCTTAGAAAATGGAACACTGCAGTACCGAGCATTTGTATGCTGAGGTCTTTGTTCTAAAGAACCCTGGTAGGTTTCAGAAACAGCCTCGAAAGCAAAGTCTCCCGAGGTCTTTCTCCTGGGCTTCTGTCTCCTCATTTTCTTCCCACAATGAAGAGAAATACAGAAAGCAGAATTCCTCTTCTCCAAGGAAGGTCATGGAAACTAAACACTGTATCGCAATGCAAGTCCCCAGACCTGCAAATCTCATTCGCTCCCTTCTCCCTTCTCCCTGGTAGGCTGTCATTCCAGGGGGTCCTATTCTACCCAGGAGGACAGAATGCTACACACACAGACCAAGGAACTGAACAGACAAGCCGTGCTGACTTCTTTCGTCAAGCTATTACCATAGATCACATTTTTTTTTAAGATATATTTATTTGGAAAGCAGAGTTACAGAGGGAGGTAGAGACAGAGAGAGAGAGAGAGTTCTTCCACACGCTGATTTGCTCTCCAAATGGCTGCAACAACCAGGGTTGTGCCAGGCCAAAACCAGGAGCCTGGAGCTTCTTTTGGGTCTCCCACATAGGTGCAGGGGCCCAAGAACTTGGGTTATCTTCTATTGCCTTCGCAGGCACATTATCAGGGAGCTGGATCAGAAGAGGAGCAGCCAGGACTTGAACCGGCACCCATGTGGGACAGCAGTGCTGCAGGCCAAGCTTTAACCAGTTGTGTCACAGCACGGGTTCACACTTTTATGTTCAACTAGATCACACATATTCAACATAGATCACACTTCTATGTTCAACCACACTTCTACAAAGCTGTCCTTTCTTTATTGAATCTCAGTGTAAAAGCAGAGTTTTCTCTGGGTTTTTAAGTCTTCATTTCTAAAATCTACCATGTTGTGTCAACATGTGATGTAATAAATTTTGTATGCTCTTCTCTCTTTAATTTGTCTTTTGTTAGTGGATTCTGTGTTGTGTCATTTCTTTTGATTGTAAAATGTATCATTATTTTATGCCACCAAACACTTACTATGTCGATAGTTGTGAATTCTTTTCTGTAACCCTGGTGTGGATTTAAGTCTGCTTGGTTATTAGCACAATTACAGAACATGATCAATGTCCCTCACCTTAAGGGAATTTATAGCCAAGGCCAATGTGTAGATGCAAAACAAGTGAAGATAATATCAGATTTAAAAATGCAACAAATTTGCTTGGCCAATTACAGTCACAGAAAATTTTTTTCAAAATATTGTTGCATCTTTTTCTTGTTGGCACTTAATTCATCTGAAAAATTAGCATCATAAAAATGGGGGATGGGGCCTTCGACATGGCGTAGCATGTAGAGCTGCTGCCTACAATGCCAGCATTCCATATGGGCGCTGATTTGAGTCTCGGCTGCTTCTCTTCCTATCCAGCTCTCTGCTATGGCCTGGGAAAGCAGTAGAAGACGGCCCAAGTCCTTGGGCCCTTGCACCCATGCGAGAGACCAGGAAGAAGCTCCTGGCTCCTGCCTTTGAATCGGCACAGCTCTGGCCATTGCGGCCATCTGGGGAGTGAACCAGTTGATGGAAGACATTTCTGTCTCAGCCTCTGCCTCTCTGTAACTCTGCATTTCTTTTTCTTTTTTTAAATGTCAATGAATATAATGGTTCTTTGACCTTTTTTTTTTTTTTCCAATTTATTTGACAGATAGAGTTACAGACAGTGAGCGAGAGAGACAGAGAGAAAGGTCTTCCTCCCATTGGTTCAGTCCCCAAATGGCTGCCAGGGCCGGCGCTTTGCAGATCCGAAGCCAGGAGCCAGGTGCTTTTTCCTGGTCTCCCATGCAGGTGCAGGGGCCCAGGCACTAGGGCCATTCTCCACAGCCTTCCCAGCCACAGTGGAGAGCTGGACTGGAAGAGGAGCAACAGGGACTAGACCACGGTGCCCATATGGGATGCCAGCACCACATGCAGAGGATTAACCAAGTGAGCCACAGCGCCTGTCCCTGTAACTCTGCCTTTCAGATAAATAAAAAACGCTTAAAAAATAGCATAGGAGTGCAGCAACTGACTGCACGGGATTGTCAACTGATAGTCACACAGCCATCAACAGCCTCTGCCATGGAACCCCACAATCTTCAGCCTTAATCCTTCTCCAGCACTGGCCCCATAGAGGCTGAGTGAGACAGAGAGCTCTGCAATGAGCAGTCCACAAGACTCAGTGCTATGAAACCTGTCTGGAGACTTTTAGGAGAACCATCTTACTGCTCAGATAGGAATACCATGACAGGCACCAACGCTCAGCTTATGAATGTAGTTCTGTGTGCACAATTCACCCACCTTAGACACTCATGGCAGGATCTGACACATCTTTGAAGAAGACTGAGGCCTATGGATGTTCCTTTACATCTCTTGATTTTCCTGTCAATACTGGTCAACAGAGAGCAAAATCTCTTTCCAAAAATTTTTAATTCTCCAATGATAGTTCATGGTTTGTGTCATGAAATATCATGTCTTGATGTGTAAAGTGAGTGGTCATTTGGTGTTAACTCAGGCCTTGTGTCGCTTAGGTATGAAAGACACAGAGACTCTGTGCATTTAATGGTTTTCTTATCAGGAACAGGCTCACCCTGGCTAGCGTGCTCTGGGCCCCTGCATGCTTATGAGTGTAAAACATGGAAAGGGAGGCCTGTGGTGCTGGTATCCCATCTGGACGTAGGTTCGAGACCTGGCTGTTCCACTTCCAATCCTGCTCTCTGCTATGGCCTGGAGAAGCAGTAGAAGATGGCCCAAGTGTTTGGGCCCCTGCATTTATGTGGGAGACCCAGAAGAAGTTCCTGG